AGGGTGATGTAAGTGACACGTCAGTTAAAGTGACGTGGCGCTGTGATGCCGTGGTGCCACCCACCCCTGCCGGCGAAGCGTCATCAGATGACGTGTGGTTCCCGGGCAGGGCCCGGGAATGGCGGACCGGTTTGCGCCGTGTGTGTAATGAATCTGACAGAGGCATTGTTTGGCCCGGTTCTGCGAACTGATTCTGCTGACGTCGTTGTTTGTTAGTGCAGAGTTATGTGGGCCCATTCGCGCCGGCTGCCTTAGTTATTACACAGTGCAAGTCTGCATGAATCATCAGTGTAATCCGTCATACGGAATGAAAACATGACGTTTGTAACAACAGGTCACTGTCCTTTCCTGCTCTGGCCTTCAAAGTCGCTATGACACGGGGCTGTGACGGGCTGTCCGTGTGTCGCGGTGGTGGCTGCACGGCGGCCCGCTCGGGGCGATAACCAGCACTCTGTCGGTGGTGACACCGCGTGTCGTCACCGCTCCGCACCAGTGCACACTGGTCGGAAACGCCCTCACGAGAGGCCACGGGCGATTCCGGAGTTTCGGATTATTTTTTGTATAGATCGATTTGAAATTGATCAAATTATTATAATTAGGCCAAAAAAACTAATCCGGGTGACCAAAAATAACTGTAATCAGCCCCCGAAGATGGGGTATCCCAGAACTCGGAAACTGACGCGGAGCAAGAGGTTTCTTGAGCCGGATATTCAGAGTCTTATTGCTGCTAGACACCAAATTGAAATCCCACATATTATGCATCAAAATGTTTGTTATGAAGTTGCCGACTGGTCAGTGCAAATTTTTTGGTATACTTTTTCCCCAACTAAGATCTACTGTAGCTTTTTTATGAGGGCTCTCCTAGAGTGATTCTGGAATATAACTGCAAAGTTTAGGTAAGGAAACAACAGGTAGTCCCATCTAGTCCCACTCTGATTTTTTGTGAGATGAAGCAGGATTTAAATTTACACCAGGGCAACATAAAAGCTAACTGCGCATATTTGCGCAAAATTTGCAGGAGCCGCTATTCCTACCCAACTACCGCCCGCCCCGCCCCAGTTTCGGCTCGGCCGCCGCGCCCGGCTTACGCTGACCTGTGTGGCCTGCACGCATCCATGCGTAGTTGACTGGTCATTAAAAACAGACGCGCTTGAGTTTATGAATTTTGTGTAAAGCGCATACAATATGGTTTTATTATTGCATTTATGTATGTATTGACATCAAAAGCCTTTCACATATTGCGTGGCGATTACGGCTTGCATTTAGAGAGCCTTGCTATTAGTAACCATCACTCGGCTGAAGAAAGTGGAAATTGAGACCTTCGTGAATATAAGACGGTGCGAATATAGGACACCTGTCACTGGCGTCAGGTTACCTTGGGCCGTCTTTTTACATTAGATCACAATTCCGGTATTTAGCCCTGGCCGGACCGATTGGTTTTCTATATTGACCGGGGAGGGTTGATACAACTCCGTCGCCGTTTCGCCTCTAATTGAGCTAGAGCCTCGCGGAAAAAAACGAGCTTGTGTGCCGTTATAAGACGCAGCAAGTACTACCCGATTTAAGGTCTTCTAGGTCAGCCAGTGACCTCTTAGGTCAGGTAAGTGCCACAAGGCACGGGCTCGGTTTTTGGTTAATTACTTTGCCAAAAATGGTCGCACTGCCGCCATTTTGGCATCATCGTGCTTGTCTAGCTCAGGAGCGTTGAATGCTATACTTGTTGTTCGGATGAAGTCAACTTAGGCGTTAACCTCGGGTCAAGGTCAGGTCGGAGCCCCTCAGGTCACGAAAATGGTTGAAGGAGGACATATCGCATATCACTCGATTCGGCAGGTCTTCCCGAGTCCAATGGTGACTTTCCCGACTCTCTAGCTCCATCTGATCAGGAGTTATTGACGAAAAACTTATATGGCCTTAGTGACGTCATAAATGACGTCACGCAAAGTCAACAATGCTAAAGTGAAGCACCGGACCTTGCAAGGAGTGCATGAAACCATTCCCGGTGCCTGAATAGCAGCTTCCAATTTCCCTTGTTCACTTAAAGTGGTGCTAGATCCTGTATTATACTCAATTATGACGTCATAACTTAACAGATTCACGTCATATATTTAGTGCTTGACATCCAAATGATAGCTTACATATGACAGAGAAGGCATGCAAAGTTTTATGAAGTTTGCTTCACTAGTTGTGGAATAACAAGCAAAAAACTTTTGCGGAAAGGCCGCTGGCCTCTCGCTGGAGCGTTTCCGACCAGTGTGCAGTGCAGTGGTGGCGGTCGATGGAGGCCGGGTCAGGTCGGTCTCAGACCAGCGGCGGCCGCGTGCGGTCAGCCGCGGGCCACGCGCCGCCGCCGAACACCGCCGCACATCCCGGCGAACGGCTGCTGCGCGTACGGTCCGCCGCGACCGGAACCGGGTCACTGGAGCAGCGCCGCCGCGACATCTATCGGCCAACGGCTGTACCTGTAGTACGTCACCGCACCGCCAGGTGTCAGAGCTGTCCCAGGTGTCAGATGTAGAACGCCGCGGCCGGCCGGTGGGACAGTTTCACCAACAGCTCAATAGAAAGTTGGCTGATGACCTCAGTCTGTTTGCCCCTCGCTGCCCTCGCGACGGGGACGCGTTTTTGGGGCGCCGAACCGGATCCCCTTTCGGTGATCGGCACGCACCGTCCCGGCCAAACATATCACCGGCCGGTGGGACGAGTCGGCCGATCCGGGCTGATGTTGGCTGGTCTCAGAGCTAGTGTTGACTCGTGGACAGCTCGACTCGGACTGCTGTGGGCGGCTCGGCTTAGGGTCTGTTCCAGTCGCACTTCCTAACACATCTAAACTCCTCCAAGAGCAAGATAGAGGAGGTTGGACTTGGAGCAGGGCCCTCCTTGGCTTTGTAGGGGCGAAAGCTGCCACTGGAACAGGGGAGCAATCTTGGAGGAGTTAAGAGGTGTTAGGAAGTACGACTGGAACAGACCCTTAGACTGCTGGCGATACGGGCGGCTTGATTCGCTCCCTCGGCGGGCGCCCTTGAGTCCAGAGGAGCTCACCGAGCCCACTGGGGAGTTTGTGTGAGGTCCCGCGTTGAGCCCCTCCCCTCCCACTCCTTCTAGCCAGTCTGCCGGGCCGCCCGATGAAGCACAACTGGGTCGTGCCGTCGGCAGTTCCGGCCAGTGTGTGCCGAGTCGACCGTGACGGTGACGACGGCACCTCAGCGCTCGTATCGGGACGTTAGCTCGCGGAATGTCGCCGGCGGCTGATAGCTCACGGCTCGATAGCTCACAGCTCGATAGCTTACAGCTCGATAACACGCAGCTCGATAGATCACGGCTCGGACTATGAATCCACAGGGGTAGAGCCCCGCCGATGTGATCGGAACCAGCTGGCATGTTTGACGGTCAGCTTCCGAGCAGCGGCGGCGATGGACGTGGATCCGTTTGTTTGGCCGCGCTGGCAATGGTTCGTGAGATAAATCACCATATTTTCCTCCGGGCTGGGGAGATAAATCAGTGACCATGTCCGGACTGAGGCGCCCCGGCATCCAGGGCCATCTTCGCGGTCTTCAGCCCCAAGTTTCCCGCGATTGTGGGTTGCTGCTCCGCGATCTGCAGGCCTTTTATCGAGCTGCATAGTGCAATGTAAGCTGCAGCTTTCTTCGATCAAGCTTGCAGCTCTGCACAGTGCACCAAAGTCCGAAGTGCTGTGTCCAGCGGATCAGTCTGCTTCAGACCCACCCTTTCCTCGCCTACCGAGGCCTGCCGAGCTGTCCTGCACTGCACAGCTGTGTTTGTCTGTTGACATTGAGCTGAGCCGGTCTCTGAGCTTATGTTTGCGATCAGCAGCAGTACAATCTGTAGGCCTCCGTTCGATTCTAGCTCCGCCGGTCCCCGCTTTTCTGTCACCCTCCCTCTACTGTCACCCACCTTCCGACCCTACCCGTCGCCTGCCGTTCGACCCGGTCCGTCGGTCGTTCAGCGCCCGGACAGGCGCGGCGGTCCGGGGTGGACCGTTGGTCAACCGGCAAACTGGCCTGCCGCCGCTCCGCGCCGCGCCTCCCGCAGTCGGCCTAACTGTATCACCGGGAGGCAGGGGAGGGGAGGATCGTCACTCGGCGTATCGTCACGCGCCGGGAACGGGTGACGACACGTCCCGACAAACGGTCGACCTCACCCGTCACTGGCTCTGGCACAGTCACACCGCTACCATTGGCACAGTCACACTATCACACCGTTACCACTGTCACTGTCACTGTCATCGATGGTGTTCGGTTCGATACAGAATAGCGGCACAGCTGGCCGCTGGGTTGATCGCGCCGCACTGCTGGGCCGTAAGTCTAAACTGGTCCAAACAACTCTTGATAATCAGACCGATCTCTTCTGACCCCAACAGATGACCAAGTCATTCATGATATCGGGTCCTATAACCATGGTGACAATGATCATCAGTGATACACTGACTTTTCGCTGCTTTATTCGGTCGGATTAGTGCTGTTGAAAATATCAGTCACGGTTCCCAAAGTCCACGGCATGCGTGTTATTTTAGGCGGCCTGTGCGTCCTCCCCCGCGTTCAGCGGTTGCTGCCATAACGGCAGTCTTCTCGACATTTCATGATCCCGTTACGCTGTCAGTTTTTATGTTTTTGATCCTTGGAACCATTTTACCCTGATTATGTGGTCCCGATTCTTCGAACAGGCGATTACCGGACCTTGGAATAGCGCTATGTAATGCAGATTGCAGGTTATGTAAAATGATTTCGTTCTTCAATGGTGTGCCTTGTGTGATGTTATTTTGTCTGATCCTGTCTGATCCTATTCGACCTTTGTCTGACATTCTCCTGACTATGAGCAGGCCCCTGTGACCCACGGTAGCATTCTCTGCTATTTTCTGCCGCTCATTATGTGATACGTGACATTCTGCCAGAAGCATACGTCAGATCATTTCTATGAACACCTCTCGAATCTCCCTGTCTGTCTCCAGTTCTGACCTACCTCTCCCTCTCGTTCGGCAGGTACCCTGAATCCCTCTCTACAGGACCGGATGGGCCGACCGAAGCGAGACATCAGCACCATCATCCACATCCTGAACGACCTGCTGTGTGCCTCGCCCCAGTACCGCGCTGAGGAGGCGGGCGCCGCGTCCCCGGCCAAGCCGACGCCCGGCGCCCCGGCCGGCGCGCCCGCCGAGCCCGCCCAGCCACCTGGTGAGAAACGGGGTGAGAGGGTGAGAATGAACCCTGGGTGTTCGCGGGGGGAGAGAATGAACCCTGGGTGTCCGCTGCTGATCGGGTCGGGAGGAGTATTGAGAACTCCATACACTATGTATATGTATTAGGGTGACAGTTATTTTCTGATTTTTTGAAAAAGCAAAAACGCAGTTCATTTTATGGTTCCATATAGCATAAAAACATCACATGCAAAGTTTCATTCGGATCGGATTATATTTAACCGTGCCTCCTCGAACTTGAATGTGTACGCTTTTAGCCATTGGGCCAGCAGTGTAGACTTTTCTGGTATGTAATCCACAAGCAGTGTTTCTCAGCTATTCATAACGATGCAATCATAAAACAAAAGACTGTGGTACACGAAAACTAGTGATGTATTGTAAAACGATTTAAAAAAAAAAAACTGAGATAAGACTCAATGCGTCTTGTGGCAGTTGGCAATCTTGGACCTCCTGACGAGTCTGAGCATCTGCGTCGAATGCTATCGCTCATTACTGCAGATGCCGGGTGACGGTGCCTTTGCTAGCGTTTGGAAGCCTTCCACGGTGTGCCTCCACCACCTGCAGGATGTACTGCCTCTGGTCATCATCCTTGGTGAGGGTCAAATTGTACACTTCCATCAGAGCGACGCCACGCTCGGCGAAGTCGTTCACCACCGTGATGCCGTTGGCCTTCCCCGCTGCGGCGACATAGCGGTGGTCGTCATGCCACTCGGCAGGGTCGGTCTCGAGGAAGCCGTCGTCAATTCCAAGAGTGACAAAGAACGTCCGCGACGATGTGGATACGAAGTCTGCGCGGGTGTTCTGCGTCAGGTCTGCGCTGAGATCAACGACGGCCCGCTTGGTAAAAGTCCTACGAGCCCTCGTCCGAGGCGAGGGCCTCAACAATGGCCCGCTTTCCAAGCAGGGGTAGGCTCTCGTCAAAGAACGCCAACGGGACTAGGCTCTCACTCAGATACCACAAGTGACGTCGGGCGAAGCTGCTAAGGAGCGTCTTGGCGAGGGACTTGTCCTTTTACCAGGCCAACGTCTTCAGAAGGGAGGTCGTTCTTAGGAGGGTTTCGTCAGAAGGGAGAGGTCGTTCTTGGTCGTTGATTCGTCAAGTTTGCCGTGTCGGTCTACATTCCCACGTGGTACACCGCGCCGAGCCCTACATCGGCCCCTAAGAACGACCTCTCCCTTCTGAAGACGTTGGCCGGGTACGAGGACAAGTCCCTCGCCAAGACGCTCCTCAGCGGCTTCGCCCGACGTCACTTGTGGTATCTGAGTGACGGCCTCATCCCGTTGGCGTTCTTTGACGAGAGCCTACCACTGCATGGAAAGCGGGCCATTGTTGAGGCCCTCGCCTCGAACGAGGGCTCGTAGGACTTTTACCAAGCGGGCCGTCGTTGATCTCAGCGCAAACCTGACGCAGAAGACCCTCGCAAACTTCGTGACCACATCGTCGCGGACGTTCTTCGTCACTCTTGGAATTGACGACGGCTTCCTCGAGCCCGACCCTGCCGAGTGGCATGACGACCACCGCTATGTCGCCGCAGCGGGGAAGGCCAACGGCATCACGGTAGTGAACGACTTCGCCGAGCGTGGCGTCGCTCTGATGGAAACGTACAATTTGACCCTCACCAAGGATGATGACCAGAGGCAGTACATCCTGCAGGTGGTGGAGGCACACCGTGGAAGGCTTCCAAACGCTAGCAAAGGCACAGTCACCCGGCATCTGCAGTAATGAGCGATAGCATTCGACGCAGATGCTCAGACTCGTCAGGAGGTCCAAGTTTGCCAACTGCCACAAGACGCGTTGAGTCTTATCTCAGTTTTTTTTATCGTTTTACAATACATCACTAGTTTTCATGTACCACAGTCTTTTGTTTTATGATTCCATCGTTATGAATAGCTGAGAAACTCTGCTTACGGTTTACATACCAGGAGGGTCTACACTGCTGGCACAATGGCTAAAAACGTATACATTCAAGCTCGAGGAGGCACGGTTAAATATAATCAAATCCGGATGAAACTTTGCATGTGATGTTTTTATGCTATATGGAACCATAAAATGAACTGCCTTTTTGCTTTTTCAAAAAATCAGAAAATAACTGTCACCCTAATATGTATGTATATGTATATTTAAAATCGCCAACAGACAATAAGTCCACTTAAAAGGCGAAGTCAAAGAGACAGTAAAACAGCACACACCCACACACACAACACACACACACACCTACATACACACACACACTGAAGATAAAAACACGTAGGGTTATAAACACAGGAGATGTAAATAAATGAATAATAGCCTAAAAAGCCTAGTAAACAAGAAACACTAAAAGCACAGCGGATGCGATCACGCCGCTTCACTAAAGCGGTCAGGGCCATTTTACCAGGAAAGATTTATATGATTGAGACTAATTGCGCGTTGGGAATGGTTTCAGTAGCTCGAGTTTCCATATCCGATAGTTAGATTGCCTGTTGCTTTCACATCGCGTGCAATGATACTGGAAAGTGCATAACGAGGGGCAATTGAGTACAGATAAAGATAGAGCAAGCGTGGTCTCAGCGGAAACCAATGCGAACTGGTTCCTGGATTATTACTAATGCAGACGATGTGGTTTTGAGACATGGTGGTGCAGCTCGTCTGCCTACCATGAGAGTCGTTCTGGGTGGGCTGTGTTGTTCCCTACACTCAATGTGCAGCATACTGAATTTGGTCATCGGCCGACCGTCGTCATTGACGATCTGTGCACATTGGTGCCCCGTTTGTGACCCGCTTCTGCTTCCTCTGTTAAGAGCACACTTTGTCTACCTGCCCCTGTGGAACCTGTTGCACACCGCTCTGACCGTGCGCCCCCCTCTGCCTCCACAGCTGAGCCGGCGGCGCTCGACGAGAACCAGGCCACGCGCGGCAAGGTGGAGCGTCTGAAACTGGTGCTGGAGGAGCGCCGGCAGCGGCGGCGGCAGCGGCGCTCGCAGCGCAGCGCGCCCTACACCACCAGCTGGTCGGCCACCTCGTCTCGGCCGGAGCCGGCCGGCGGCGCCGCCCACGCCGCGGCCGACGCCGCCGACGCCGAGATGCCCGAGGTGACGCCGGCGCCGGCGCTGGTGGCCTGCGGGGGGCAGAGCGCGCTCTGAGAGCGCCGTGACAGTCGGCCGGGTCACGTGCGTGTGACGCCGTCCGCGAACTGAGTGTAACGGCCCAGAGACGCTGTTGGTTTGGGCAGAGACGCCGTCCGACGGAACGGCCGGTGGGCGACCGTGGCGCCATCTTTATAGTGTGGTAAGCGGACCGAGCGCTGCCTGACGGGCGGCATGTGAAACTGAGCGGACCCACCGAGTGGCGAGCGGCCGGCCCGAGTCGCGCGGCCGCCGACGCCAGACAAAGCGAGTGTGAGTGGCAGTGAGTGACAGGCTGAGCGTGAGTGAGAGTGAGGATGAGTGAGCGAGTATGAGAGAGCTCTGAACCGCTGCTAATCGTGCTGTAGCCGCGTGTGAGCGCCGACGTGCGGTCGGCGCTCTGTGTTCCCGCCGGCGGGCGGACAGCCGAGCGGCCTCCCCCGGATCACGGCGCCGGGAGAAATGGACTGACCCGTCCGGACGCCGCGCCCGGGCGCTGGGCGAGTCCACTTAACTTTGTGTGTTGTTCGGGGGAAGTAGAGGATTTTCTTGTGTTGAATCTGGCGTTCTGTCGCGTGCGCAGGCCATGAGACCATGCAAATGTTTATGGAGTGTGGTGAGTGAGGGACGTAGCAATCCGAGCTGTAACTGCTGACAGTGTGGAGTGAGTGGGCGGAGCGCCGCCGGCGGCCGCCGCCGCGCCGCGGCTCCGCCAGCAGTCAGTGTTTTAACCCAGAGCCGTGTAAATACAGTTATGTCGAGAGGAGGATCATTTGTTTTGTTTGTTTGGGGTGACGAGCCCGCAGATTCATCACGTTATCATTTGGAACTTTCATTTAGTCCTGAGATCCCCGAGCTGATTGACAGGCACCGTTGTTTTTCGGCTCGGCCCTCGGTTCTTTGAAAGGTCAGGCTAAAACTCAAGAGGGTCACGGGGACAGCATAAACGCTATTGAATATCCAGGCTCTATGCATAGCAGATAGCACACTTTTTTGCAATAAACCTGGTGGTTTCGGGTTTCGTCTCTGGTATTCAGCGGAAAGGGAAAAAGAGGTATAGAAAAACACCGTGGAAAAAACAAAAACAGGTAATATGGTAGCAGAAGGGAGCTACCATATTAAGGCAGTTCTGATGCAGCTGTGACGATGAAGTGACGCAGTCAGCACGCTTGTTTTCATTTTCCATTTCAATTTCTTGTTCCATTTCGGCAGTATTTTTTTCAAGTGATTTTCCATCAAGGATTAGCTATTTCAATTTTTGGGAGCTAAACGATAAACTTTTCTCATTACGGCCTAACTAAGGTAGGTACCTAACTTCAAATTCAACTCCAATTGCCGTTAAAATTGCAATGGAAAATATCCGTTATCTCATCTGTATGGATTAAAATTGAAATGGATACAGGGTTCTGAGGCTAGTTTTACCAACAGAAAATAGCCGCCTGCCGGAAATTTTGCCTTAACCCTCTCTGGCACAGGCCATTTTGCGTCCTTCGACGGCACAAGGCCCAAGGGGGGGATGGTACGACCCCCCCTCGCGTTTGGCCCCTGATCATCGAGCTAGAGCTTCGCGGAAAAAACGAGCGTGCTGCCCGTCACGAGAGGAAGCCGATGTGTGTTTGTTGTAATTTTGTTATTGGATTAAATACTGGGCCTTATTTAAAATAGGATTATTTAATCATGTTGGAAACATCTCATTCTATTCACTATTGTGATTTGGGCCAGAATGCAGATTATGGCAATCTTACACCCTTGGCGTGGAGGTAGTGTCGAAGACTGTTGAACATCGCCAAGCGTTGCAAAGTAACCATGCGGTGGGTTCCTGCTCACTGAGGAATCGAGGGGAAGTAGAGCGCGGATGACCTGGCGAAACAATCGACCGTCCTACCCTTGACGCCCGCTCGCTGACCCGGGGCCGGGCGGCCCATTCCATTGTGCGACCTCGCGTCAATGGCGCGACAACTGGTCCAAGTCATTATTCAAGCCTCTCTTCTAGAGCACACTGCCACTTCCCATCACCGGAGACTGGAGAGGACCGAAAGAACGCCGTTTCGGTGCACCAGATGAGTGTGGGCCACTGGAGCCGCTCGTCCCCACCTCGTCCCAGTACGTGCACCGAATCAGCCGTCTCCTCTCCGCTGCATGCCAGCAGTGTCTGGAGGACGATCGTCGGTGACCCACGATACTAAACACCATGTGCCGAGAAGAGACTGATGTACGGGAGCACGTGCTGCTCAGTTGCCCGGCCCTCGCTGGCGCCCGCCAGCCTCGAACACAACTCTCCGCTGATTTTTGTGGCCCTAGAAATGCTGGCCCAAGCTCTGTTTCACGGCACAACACTATAACAGTGCTCTTGGGAACATCATGGAACATCGGGAGCAAGGAAACATCAACTTTTCAGATGCTAGAAAGTAAAAATAATTGGAGAACAGAGAGCGTCCAAGGCCGTAAAATACTCCTGTCTGTCTGTCAGCCCTGGTCAGTGATTGTGCAGTGCACATGTGCCTTATTTCAAAGCTTGATTTTGACACAAGTAGGCCCCCGACTTTCGGCGCAAATCATGCAGAAATTTCAGCGCAAAATCGCTTGCGCCGAATTTCGGCGCATGAAAGTCTCACGGGCGTCCGGCGTAGTGTATGGATGTTTTCCAGTCTGGGTCCTAAAAAGCATGGGATTCACAAAATGGGTCGGTCTGGAAAGAATTGAGCTTTGATTGCAGTTTTTTCACAAATACTACAATTACAGATTATTTAATGTCTGAACCAGGAGATATGTATGGTGTGGATTTGTCACCCTTGCTGCTACATCTTGTCAACCCTGTTCCCGTGCTGATTTGCAGTCAGGTTTACTGGTAGGCAGTTAAGTCCAAAAATGACTTACTGATGCTCTCTAAACCATATAGACTATCACCTTGTTTTCCAGTCACGATGGCTGAAGACGAGGAGGAGGGGTACCGCTGGGAGTCCGGATATGAAAAGACATGGTGAGTAGGGGCCAGTACAGTGCAGCTTACAGAACTAGATCGCTACAGATTGTCTGCTGGTTAGTCAACTCTCACTACTGTAACCGAACTTTGAAGCTGGATAGTAACCCCAAAATGAGTTTTTACCTGAACAGGTTTTCAATAAAAGCTTTCCACAAGATAAAAAAGCCGGGATATTGGACATTCCAGTGACTTATTGAATCTAACCAGACTGACTTTTCTAACCTGAGCTAACACTTATTTTAACCTTATCTCTACCCAGAGCCCATTCAGGAATCAGGGCAAGGATGTAGCTTGCTGCCCTGACCAGATAGCTGACGCCTGAGTCCCTGACATCACGTCACCTGACCCGACCTGATCCGACCCTATCTGACCTAACCTGACCACCTCCAGGGAGGCCATTCAGGAGGATGAGGCGGGTCTCCTGGACAGCTCGGTCGCCGACCTGGTGGCGCGCGCTAAGCGGGCCCGCCTACACCGGGCGCGGCCGCACGTGCGCCTGGGCATCATGCGGCACCTGTACCTGGTGCTGGACGCCTCCGAGGCCATGTTCGTGCAGGACCTGAAACCCACGCGGCTCATTTGCTGCCTCAAGGTACGCGTTTACCGAACTTTGCTGTAGGACTGCCACTCGGTGGTGACTCGTCTCATGTCCAGTTAGTTTCAGTGCCTTAGCATTATAGTGCTGTCTTGTGCTCAGTAATGACTCGTATTATTTGTACCTCTCGCAGATCCTGGAGGGTTACGTGCAGGAGTTTTTCGACCAGAACCCCATCAGTCAGCTGGGAATCATCGTGACCAAAAACAAACGGGCTGAGGTGGTCTGTGAGCTCGGTGGGAACCCCATCAAAGTCATCGAGGTGAGACGAGCTGGGAATACCACGGGACCGACTATGGGTGATCGCCGCGGAATTTTTACGCGATGATAGTTTGATATTATTTGTGTTTGAAAGGGCTCTTCTTTCTAAACCTGTGCAAGCTCGAGTGTGATAAAAGAGCTAGATTTCAATTCTCTCATAATCTTTACAAGGCTTTTCATAAGTTCCGGTGGTGCGATATGCCCTTCCCCCTTAAAGGCAGTCACATTAACCTCCTTATTCTCCCGGCCTATACCACGCAGCACCTGCGCAAGCTATCGTCTGCGCCATGCGTGGGCGAGCCGAGTCTGATGAACGCTCTGGAGCTGGCAGCCAGCTCCCTGCGCACCATGCCGAGCCACGCGAGCCGGGAGGTGCTGGTCCTGATGGCGAGTCTGACCACCTGTGACCCGGGGAACATCAACGCCACCATACAGGTAATAAATCGGACCATACAGGTAACAGTTATACACTGCCGACCCGGGGAACATCAACGCCACCATACAGGTAACAGAAACACTGCCATACAATAACACGCTGCATACTGCTGACCCGGGGAACATCAACGCCACCATACAGGTAACAGAAACACTGCCATACAATAACACACTGCACACTGCTGACCCGGGGAACATCAACGCCACCATACAGGTAACAGAAACACTGCCATACAATAACACACTGCACACTGCTGACCCGGGGAACATCAACGCCACCATACAGGTAACAGAAACACTGCCATACAATAACACACTGCACACTGCTGACCCGGGGAACATCAACGCCACCATACAGGTAACAGAAACACTGCCATACAATAACACACTGCACACTGCTGACCCGGGGAACATCAACGCCACCATACAGGTAACAACAAACAGATCATGCAGTTGAATTTAATCGTACAGCATCAACTTGGCGTTATGATGAAATAAAATCGATACACTATCAATATTGGATACACTATCAATCACTTCTCTCCCCAGAAACAGCGACACCACATCTCTCCGTCGAAACCAAAACGCAGCACAACTAAGTCACCTATCTAAACGTAAACCTTCTAAAGTTACCTGGGTGCTGAACCCAGACAAGTTTGAAAGGCTAAAAGGTCATGTATGGCGTAGCAATCAGCATTTGAGGAATACGTTCTCTTTCATGCCACCAAAGTGGCCAACTTCTTTAAAAAAAATCGCAATAGGTCGCAGGACCACTTCGTGACCTCACCCCTCCCCTCTCTCTCTCTCTCAGTCGCTCTGTAAGGAGAAGATCCGCTGCTCAGTGATCGGCCTGGCCGCCGAGCTGCGCATCACGCGCCACCTGGCGCAGGAGACGGGCGGAGAGTACGCCGTGTGTCTGGACGACTCGCACCTGCGCGACCTGACCATGGCGCACGTGCAGCCACCGCCGGCCGTGGCCCATATGGAGGCCGCTCTGATACGGATCGGCTTCCCGTCGCACAATACCAGCGCCGACAGTCCCGGCAAACTGTCCTACTGTATGTGGTGAGTGAGACTAGGTGGGTTAGGTTGGAATAAGTTTGGTTGGGTTGGGAATCGTATGCCAGGCTTTTGGTTTTTAATGCTGCGCAACTAGATCATGATGACATGTTTGTGATTCCAGGAAGTGGTTATTAGCAATTGACCACTTATCTTTAAGAATTTTCAGGAAGTACATGGAAGTCCAGGAAGTGTATTTTCCGGCTTGGGTTGATGAGAAAAATAAATGCTCTTGCGCCTCCTGTAAACCTTAGTAATAGTCACATGTACACCCTCGATCATGTAGCCCGTCAATGTAAATGTCTAACCCCCGTCCCCCGCCTCCGGCAGTCACCTGAACGGGCCGGCGCCGCCGGAGGGTCCGGACCGCGGCGGATACCTGTGTCCGCAGTGCTACAGCAAACACTGCGAGCTGCCTGTGGACTGTGCCACCTGCGGCCTGACGCTGATGTCGGCGCCGCACCTGGCGCGCAGCTACCACCACCTGTTCCCTCTGGAGCCGTTCGAGGAGGTGGAGCGGCCGCCCGGCGGACCCCCGCAGCACTGCGCCGCCTGCCGGGCGAGGATTGATACACAGAAGCTGGTGAGTGTAGGGGGCGCTGCAGTGTGCGGTGGTGGTGAATTTGGTCGCAATGTGATGTTGTTGAGAAACGATGAGTTTTTTTCTACCGTTTCTTGCGCTGAGCGTTCCCAGTCTTTTTTTTTTTCAAAGTTGCTGCTTGGTTTTAGAAAAAGTCAAGTCTTTGAGTGCATGATGAAATATAAATAAGCCATTTCTTGGATGGAGTAAGTTTGTTCGTCTTTCAGATTGTTAACGCACGAACGTCAGCTGCCATTTTGTTTTTCAGTTTGAATAGCAACATTGATTTTAGCGTTTGTAGTGGCCGACGGCCGCTCTCCGCCCGGTTACGGCCGAGCCATGTGGTGGCCACGTGCGTCCGGTGGTCCCGCTCGAGGCGAGGCCCGGCTCGGGTCACGTGAGGGCCCGCTGTCGTGATTGGCCGCCGCCGGCGTGTGCCGCGAGGGAGGAACGAGGTGACCTGGGGCCGGTGCTCGCTGCGCCGACCCACTCTCTGTCTGTGACTCGTGCGGTGAGGACGGTAAAGAACAAATACAGCGTCCTACTAAGTGCATCTTTGTGTGGTGGGCGGTGACATAAGTGGCGGAAGACGGTGCGAGCAGTGCTAATCGTGGCTGCTCCTGATACCTGTCTTTATGTCCTGGGGCCCACTACTTTCTCTCTCCTTTTCTCATTGAGGGTGTGGAGGGAGGCGGCTGCGGTGTCTCGCCATCGAGTCATCGAAGCTGACCGCGAGTGACGTGTCTCGCCATCGGGATACAACACTCGTGGCCTCCTCGTTCCTGGGGCGGCCAGTCGGTTTCGGTCAATCTCGCCATCGAGATCCCGGAGCATCTCAGATCCGTCTGACCACAGCAGCCTCGCCATCGAGGGGCTGTGGTCACTCGGCGGCTACCGCATTCCTTCCCATCCTCTACCAAAATCCACTTTCTCCTCACCCTGCACCACAGCCAGTCAGTCAAATCAAGTGTCGCTGTACGCAACTACAGACCAGAGGACGGCGTGGCGACATTTTCTGGTCCTCCGGGCCGGATCTCAACCGGAGATCCCATCGCAACTGCTGAATGGATGCAGAATACAGTTGTGAAACTCAAGCAGTCGATCCTACAATGGCTGAAGCTCAGCGTGCCGCCAAGGATCAGGAGCTTGCTGACCTGCGCCGACTGCGTGGATGCAAGAGGGCTGCTACGACAAGGGCCAGCAAAGCAGTAGAAGTAGAGATAACAAGACATGCTAATCGTGACCGCATCCATCAGGTCAGCGCAAGACTAGAAGAAGCATTTGCCGATTTGCGAAAGACTCATCAGACATATGAAAGCAAGCTGGGAGACGAAGAGACTGAAGAAGCTCAAGCATATGCCGATCATTTCGAAGAAGAAGAGCTAGCCATCCAGGGCAAGATTCAACAATATCTCCAAGAGCTGGACGAAGTTCGTTCATCAGCTACCACTTCCCACCGTGGGCCGAGTCGCGCCAAGTCACATACGTCAGCAGGGACGGCCGCTTCAGTCCGATCAAGAGTGGTCGCCGTAGAATTGGAGGATGCGGATCGCAAGCTACAAGACGTCAGGGCCCAGGTAGAAGAAAGTCGCCGTAACATGATGGAAAGGCAAAGGGCGGAGAAACGCCAACGTGAAGCTCAGCTCGAAATGGAGAATCTCCGACAACAAGAAGAGTGGGAGCTTCAAGAGCGCGACAGTGCACTTCAGCTGAAGATAGCTGAAGAGGCTCGAAATCGAGCAGCAAGAAAGGTCCGTCTCTATCGCGCTGCTGAAGATGAGCTGAATTGGGATCGTCGTCATGACTTTGACGAAGCTGTCGCTGGGATGGGAGAAGAAGCAAAGCCAACACGTGAAGGTGTCTGTGAGGGCACTGCGACATCCATGGGTAACTGCGGCATGCACTCTCAGCGTGATCAACAGAGGGACGAGCGGCAGGAAGGTCACACCGCTGCCACACACCATTTGGCAAACGAAGACTGCGCTGTGAACGACGCCGTGCAGCCGACGACAGCCGATCAAGCTGCGACTGGGGCACCACTTGAGGCCTCAGCTGGAAGTGCAACCACAACCCTAGATCCCAGTACCTGGACGATTCCAGATGTTTCTCAAGAGCAAGCACGCTCGAGTCAGTCAACAGCGTTCTCCAAGAGTGTACCGAGCCTCAGCCTCCACACCTATCGAGGGGATCCCGCTGACTGGCCTCGTTGGATCAGCCTCTTTAAAGTGCTGGTCCACAATCAGACATCGCTGACGAATGCAGAGCGGATGACTCATCTGCAGCAAGCAGTTGAGGGCCCTGCCCACCAAGCCATTGAAGGGCTTTTGTTTGATGGATCGCTGTACGAGCAAGCACTGAAGACGCTATATGAACGTTTCGGTCGGAAAGACGAAATCAGCCAGGCAAGTCTCAATCAGATGTTTTCTACCCCAGCACCAAGTGTGAATAGCTTGGCGTCAATGGAGAGGTTCAGCTCCGCCATCAGCAACACGGTTATGACTCTGCGAGCCCTGGGCTACTATCATGATCTGGGGGCAAGCGACACCCTCCGCAGAGTGATTGCCAAGCTCCCTGACGAGCTGACTTATCAGTGGGGCCAAGAAGTCTACAGGATGCGACCAAACCAGCCCAATCTGGAGATGTTTAGCGAGTGGCTGAAGATCCAGGTGAACGTGTTGAGCTACACCACTCGCCCGAGCCGTGACCCCGAAAAGAGGAAGACTGTGGTGACTCCGAAAGAGACCATGACGAGGCGGACGACATTGGCCACTTCCGCATCCTCACCGCGTGAGGAAAGCCATAGGCTCAGGCCTTGCGTCGTCTGCGAAGGGGAGCACAAACTGGAAAACTGTCCTGATTTTCAAGCCCAGGCGCTGGAGGAAAAGCTCGTGACTGTGAGACGGGAGCGACTGTGCTGGGCCTGTCTCAGGAAGGGGCACTTCGTCAGATCGTGTAGATCTGCCAAGCGCTGTGGCACAGATGGATGCAGGGCGACACATCACAAGCTTCTACATACGCCCAGAGGTGATTCAGGGGGCGGGGAGAGCAGCGGCAGAACAGAGAATCGCCTGGACAGAGAAGATCCGATCGTTGGTGCAGCCATGACGGAAGCCACAGACACGCTTCTACAACTGGTTCCTGTCAGAGTCCACGGCCCGAACGGTGACAAGGATGTTGTCGCTCTTCTGGATCCGGGGGCGCAAACGTCACTCTGCTGTGAGAAGGTGCTGCAAGAAATCGGTGTGAAGGGGGAGCGTGAAGAGCTCAGACTTCAGAACGTCGAAGGAAGCGGACAGAGACAGTCATCCATCCGTGTTCCGTTGACAGTCAGCCCTATTTCTGCCGATGCCAAAGAGGGCCACATCGTAATCCCGGAAGTTTGGTCTGTGCCAGGATTGAATGTTACTCCACCCAGCATCAGCCGACGACAGACCTCCAGCTGGAAGCATCTGCAGGGTCTCGACTTTCCTCAGTACAGTGGTGCACGTGTCGAGCTGCTGCTCGGGGCCAACATACTGGAAGCTGTCCTGCAACGGGAGATCAGAGTGGGAGGTACCGGCCAACCGGTCGCAGTGAGGACAGATTTCGGTTGGACCCTGACTGGATCTGTGTCGGCACTGGTACCCCGTAGTACGCGGCACGTCATGTTTGTACGCAAACAGTCAACAGATGAAGAGAACCTGAGTGAGCTGGTTCAAGAGTGGTGGACCACTGAAGCCTTTGGCACGAGGATCAACGTCAAGGACGCAAGATCTCAAGAAGATCTCCGTGCATTGGCTCTTCTGGATCAAGAGACCAAAAAGGTCGGTGAGAGATATGAGACCTGCTTGCTGTGGAGTGAGGAAAATCCGACGTTCCCCGACAACTCAAGGCAGGCATACTACCGGCTAACATCAACAGAAAGGAAACTGGAAAAGCATCCAGAACTTGCGGAGAAGTACAAGAACATAATTGATGGGTACGTCAATGATGGACATGCAAGGAAGTTATCACGAGAAGAGATGATGGAACCCAAGGAGAAGCGCTGGTTCCTGCCACATCACGCAGTCCTCAATCCCAATAAACCGGGGAAGGTGAGAGTCGTATTCGACGCTGCGGCACTGTACCAGGGAGCGTCCCTGAACCAGAAGCTAATCACAGGCCCAGACCTACTCCAGAACCTTCCCGGGGTACTGCTGCGATTCAGAGAGGGACTAATTGCAGTCACAGCCGACATCAAGCAAATGTTTCACCAAGTCCGGATACGGGAAGCTGACCAGCCCGCGTCCAGCTTCCTCTGGAGAGACATGGAGCGACAACGTGAACCTGATGTCTACCAAATGCAGGTGGTAATCTTCGGAGCGAAGTCATCGCCGACCATCGCCAACTACGTGCTGCGAAGAGCCCTTCAAGATCACGGAGCCTCAGTCAGTGCGGAAGGCCCAGTGAGCCCTGATGAGATGATCCAGAGCTTCTACATGGATGACTGCCTGTTTTCAAGCATGACAGAAGCAGCTGCTCATGATCTGCAAGCAGAGGTGATGAAAGCTCTGAGGAACGGCGGCTTTCATCTCACGAAGTGGCGCAGCAACTCACCTACAGTTCTTCGGAGTCTCCCAGAGGCTGAAAGGGCAAATCCCTCGACGAGTCTGTGCTTGAAAGGCTCAAAACTGAGTGAAAAGGCTCTTGGGGTCGTTTGGAATGAGGAAGAAGACTCTCTTGGCTTCAGACTACGAGATGAAGACGCCAGTGCAACCAAACGAGGAGTCCTCTGCAAGGTTTCAGCGATTTTCGACCCACTTGGAATCGTCGCTCCGTTCACGGTGCGAGCGAAGGTGATGATGCAGCGGCTGTGGTGCCTTCACTTGGGATGGGACGACCCGCTGCCACAGCTTGAGCTCAGCACCTGGACAGAATGGTTGAAAGAGTCAGAGAAGCTGACTGAGGTGACAGTCCAACGGTGCGTGACGCCAGGAGGCCTCGAGACAGTACGGCGTGAGCTCCATGTCTTTTGTGACGCCTCCGAAGAGGCGTTCGGCGCCGTGGCATACCTGAGGACCACGACGAGGGACGGATGTCACCACTGTCGCTTCCTGATGGGGAAGAGCCGAGTCGCTCCGGTAAAACCTCTATCCATCGTCCGACTGGAGCTCCAGGCGGCGGTTTTGGGAGCGCGGCTGACGGACGCTGTCGTCGGGGAGCTATCCCAACGACCTGACGACATCGTCTGCTGGACAGACAGTAAGGTTGTGCAACAGTACATCGACAACGAAGCTCGCCGATTCAAGACCTTCGTCGCCAACAGGCTGGCCGAAATCCACGAGCTGACGCGTGACGCAAGCTGGCGTCACGTGCCTGGTAGGCTCAATCCGGCGGACGATGCTTCCAGAGGACTTCATGTCTCCGCGCTCGCGCACAACTGCCGTTGGATCGCTGGTCCAGACTTCTTGCGTGAGGACGTCGACCAGTGGCCACCAGTGGAGAAGCTGGCACCACTGGCAGACAACGAAGAAGAACAAAAACAGGCGACGTCAGTGAATGTCATCGCCGCATCAACGCGACCAGAAGAACCGGACCCAGCGAAGTATTCATCGTGGATCAAGTACAAGCGAGTTGTCGGCTGGATCAAGCGTTTTGTGCACAACCTGAAGGCGCTCTTGCCCGGCCAACAACCTCCATTATCAGGTCCACTATCACGCTCTGAGATGGTGGAGGCCGAAGTCTGGATCATCAGACAAGAGCAGCTCACGACGTACGGGGAAGAACTCCGATGTCTGGAACAGCGACGGCCGATCCAGACTTCCAGTCCTCTGCTTTCGCTGACACCGATCTGTGACAGCAATGGCCTGGTCCGTGTTGGAGGACGCATCGGGAAAGCATCTATTCCCGAGGAGTCCCGACATCCGATCATCCTGCCGAGGAAAAGCGAGCTCGCCAGGCTCATCATCATGCAAGAGCATGTCCGTCATGGTCATGCGGGGACAGAACACACGCTGAATGAAGTACGGCAGAAGTTCTGGATTCCCCAAGGACGCGCAGAGGTGAAGAAGCAGCTCCGCAGTTGCCTCTATTGTCATCGACGCAGAGCTGCTCCGGCGCCACCAAGGATGGCTGACCTTCCCGCTCAGAGACTCGAAGCCGATCATCCGTTCAAGAACGTGGGTGTGGACTACTTTGGACCACTGCGAGTGAAGCGGTTCCGAAGAACTGAGAAGCGATACGGACTGCTGATAACGTGCTTGGCGACCCGTGCTGTTCATCTGGAGGTGACACATTCGCTGGAAGTGGACAGCTGCATCATGGCCCTCAGACGCTTCTTCTCTCGCAGATCCCAGCCAGCAGTTATCTTCTCGGACCGCGGTACCAGCTTTATCGGCAGCAACCGTGAACTACGCGAAGAGCTGAAGGTGCTGCTAGCGCAGATGCCTGAGCGCCTGAGCGCCTTGGAGATTGACTGGAGGTTCAATCCACCAACGGCCAGCCACATGGGTGGTGTTTGGGAAAGGATGGTGAAGTCGGTCAAGACGTGCCTGCAGGCAGTCGTCGGATCTCAGCTGCTGACCGATGAAGTTCTCCTGACTGTGTTCGCGGAGGTCGAACACATGATAAACAGCCGCCCACTTACCTATGTGAGCTCCGATCCATCTGATCCCGAAGCATTGACTCCTAACCACTTCCTGCTTGGTCGTGCTTCCCCACACCTGGCACCAGTCCTGACAAGAGGCAACGACATGTGCAGCCGTCGGAGGTGGAGACAGTCGCAAGCTGTGGCTGAACACGTTTGGAAAAGGTGGACTCGAGAATACATACCGACTTTGACACAGCGGAGCAAGTGGCGCCAGGAAAGAAGAAGCCTTCAAGTAGGGGACCTGGTCCTCATGGCTGAGTCCGATCTGCCCAGAGGAGCATGGCCTCTGGCCAGGATCGTTCAGGTCTTCCCGGGTAAGGACGGAAGAGTCCGGTCAGCTGCGCTACGGACCTCCTGCGGAAAGACGTACACCAGACCAGCAGCAAAGATCTGCTTCCTGGAGGAAGAGTGCCGTTGATCGCGGGAGCTGGACTGCCTGGTGGCTGAGGATCATTCGCGAGGCGCGCTGTGCGGTGAGCAATCGTACAGTGTTTGATATTGTGAGGTGAATGTTTGAGTCATCGCTAAAAGGGTTAGCTGGCAGCGGTGTTTATATGTCTTGTATGTTTGTAACAACGACTTTGGTAACTGTGAAGAGTGAAGACACATTTATGTTCTAAAGGCCGCGAACGTGAGAATGTATAATGTCTATATGTAGCATTGGCGCGTCGGCTGAGCATTGTGTAGTGTTGCTGCGAGGCGCAACACGGTGGGGGAGTATGTAGTGGCCGACGGCCGCTCTCCGCCCGGTTACGGCCGAGCCATGTGGTGGCCACGTGCGTCCGGTGGTCCCGCTCGAGGCGAGGCCCGGCTCGGGTCACGTGAGGGCCCGCTGTCGTGATTGGCCGCCGCCGGCGTGTGCCGCGAGGGAGGAACGAGGTGACCTGGGGCCGGTGCTCGCTGCGCCGACCCACTCTCTGTCTGTGACTCGTGCGGTGAGGACGGTAAAGAACAAATACAGCGTCCTACTAAGTGCATCTTTGTGTGGTGGGCGGTGACATAAGTGGCGGAAGACGGTGCGAGCAGTGCTAATCGTGGCTGCTCCTGATACCTGTCTTTATGTCCTGGGGCCCACTACTTTCTCTCTCCTTTTCTCATTGAGGGTGTGGAGGGAGGCGGCTGCGGTGTCTCGCCATCGAGTCATCGAAGCTGACCGCGAGTGACGTGTCTCGCCATCGGGATACAACACTCGTGGCCTCCTCGTTCCTGGGGCGGCCAGTCGGTTTCGGTCAATCTCGCCATCGAGATCCCGGAGCATCTCAGATCCGTCTGACCACAGCAGCCTCGCCATCGAGGGGCTGTGGTCACTCGGCGGCTACCGCATTCCTTCCCATCCTCTACCAAAATCCACTTTCTCCTCACCCTGCACCACAGCCAGTCAGTCAAATCAAGTGTCGCTGTACGCAACTACAGACCAGAGGACGGCGTGGCGACAGCGTTGTTGCGTTGTCAGTCACTGAAGATGGGCCTTACTGAGATGATTTGTTCGTGAGAATTGTGTGTATGGTGAATGAATCTCGCTGGCGCTGTTACCCTTCTATACAGAAGTTATGTAACTAACGATCTTCAAGAATGGTGGGAAAAGGTCTGGTCATGTGTTAGATAAATTGATTTGTTAGAGTCCGTGAAAGTTCACTCTTGGCTATTTGCTGTTTCATTGCAACATAAATATAATCTTTAATAAAGATGTGATCGTGAGATTTGCTGTCATCTGCTTTCGTTTCCTTTTTTCTTGGCACACGTTCATCGCTCATCATATCCATCACTAACAATTTCTCGCATTCGCTGGCGAGCAAGGCTCGCCAATGTGTGTTTTTTCTGGTCTTTTGATCCAATTGACGCTGCCTCCCTACTTTCCCAGATATCCAAGTGTGGAAAATGCAGCGAACTGTACTGCGTCGATTGCGACCTATTCATCCACGAAACTCTGCACGTGTGCCCGGGCTGCTCACGTGGCTCACACAGCACGTGACACGCGGCCCGGCACGTGGAGGTGGCTGTGACATCACGCGGCTCCGGCTACGGCGGCGCGGCGCGGCGCGGCACACTGTGGGTAGGTGTCTGAGCCGCCCGTTCGGTCGGCCGTCCGTCTCAGTTGGACGGTGTTACGGTGGTGTTGGCAGGGCGTATTTTCGGGCCGGTACAATGCGCGGAAAGTTGTGCTGCCGTCGATAGGTGACTGCAAGGAGGTACGAACGGGAGATTTAGCACGGAGTAAAGCCGAACCTGCACAGAAACTGTGCACAATGTTGTGAACAATCTCAAAGAACCGAACTCGGAACCGAAGTGAGACCGTCGAGATGTCTTTTTGATATGGTCCTGCTAATACGTCACTACTTAATAACTCCTATTCCATTGAAATAGTTTTGGAGATTCGCCCGGTTACCCACTGGCATACCATTTGTATGGTATGAAGCATAACCCTTTGGCTACTCAGTCGCTCTTGCGTCAGGTGAATGGCATAGTCCAGTCTACTCATGTTGCGATTATAACTCAAACCATGGCCTACTTAGCATCAGCAGTATTTCCACTACATGGCATGCAGAAAACCACCGAGCCAAACTCTGCTCTGTGAGATATACGTGTTTCCGCCCGATTTTGCAGCTGCAATTTTTGTAAGCTAGTCACCTTCGTGAGCTGCCTGTCCGACTGGCCGCAATTTCCGCTCAAGTTGTTACTTGCCACACAAAGCCCACTGAAGAGACGGGTAGTTGCAGTTAAAGCTGATTTGAAAATCACTCACCATGAAGAGAATGATGAGATGATCAGAATCTCCGTTTGGAGTTGTGAACGTGGCGTAACAGGGTTAGCCTGTTCAGGCCAGCATAAAGAGCGCATTGACGTTTGTTCCTGAACTGTGACCGGAGCATTGATCAAAACATGCATTTCCACATCCATACCGTGATATTATCTATTAAAGGTTGTCCATCCAAAAACCCTTGCTCATTTCGTGTCCGTGATCCCGTAGACAGTGTCCATCGTCACGGCGATTCCTGGAAGTTTCCCGTGTTTGTCATCTGTCTGATGCGTAGCGCGTGTCGAAAGCCCCTCGCCGGGCATTCGTGAGCGCGCTCGCACGAACGCACTGCGTTCGGGGGGGGGGGGGTACTGGCGTGACCCGGTCCCATAGCCATGGAGTCGGTTCACGTGTACCCGGACACATGGACCATATCCCGGTGCGATATTGACCTGTGACGTCATGTGTTAGTTGTTAGAGGTGGACAGTGTTGGACTTGAGGTGTGCACTGTACATTTTGCTCGTGATGTTTTGTATAAACGACTGTTTTGTATTTAAATGTGACCAGTGATTTTGTATTGAGTTGCATGAATACATGTTTGAAATACCCGTGCAACAATTGTTTCCGAAGTAAGAAGTTTGAACCATGTTCATTGTTCATTGCTCATTAATATTAAATATGTATTTATAAAATATGTGTCTACAGTGTCAGTGATTATGGTTTCTTATCCATTTTTGATTGGTGCTTTGGTCAGTATTTTTTTTTTAACGTTCCGTGCACATCATCTATCCACCAGCTCTACTGGCGCGCTATTTGTGTTTTTTTTTTCAATATCATCGCACGGCATTATTGCTCTACTAACGATGTCTACGGAGAAAAGATTCTTGAGCGCATAACGTCTCATTTATACAGTCCGCTTCGCCACAAAAGTGCTTACCTATCAAATTAACTTTTCGCAAGACGCAATCTGACAGTATGCAAATATAGCCGCGGTTGAATGTCACTGACACCGGCTTGCGGTGTATTTTTAAAGATAATGACCAGAACGTAATAACATTTTGTGTTTGGTCACAAAGATGATAATGAGTGGCCAGATAAATATTGGTTTTCGCTTTTTATATTTGTAATATTTTGTCGAGCAAACCTAATAAAACACTTGGGCAAGCCCGAAGGTTTCATGAATTATGATCTCTCTGATAACATCTTACTTCTCTGGATAGTTAGTCAGCTGCTCTGGAAAGTCATCCGTCAATCATAATCTTTCGCGTTCATTTTTATTGCAGTTTTCGGTTTGCTTTTCTTATTTCATCTCCAATCTTATTCTGTTTTTATTTACCAATAAGTGTAGGTCTTGTCCTTTCATCACCCGGGAGTACGCAGTGGCTCGCAGAATTCCGTGCGCGGCGGGGACTGATCGTGCCCGACGGTCATTGCGCGGCATCTTTCCAGGTGCACGGGCGTGTCCATAAGCTGATCTAAGGGCCAGGGTCAGATTACCTACACAATCCACATCGGACAGCAAGAGCAGGAGATCGGGCATTGAATACTTCCAGAGAAACGACATATGGGCCGTTGTTTACGCGGCCATTTACTTGCCGGAAAGTATCACATAGAAAATGTTTGATGTGATGCATTCTGTCTCCCACAGTACCTTTTTAATTGAGTGCCGTTCGTTGTAGAGTAATTTGGTGTTCTGTTTGAACCGCTCGCTCTGTTCCATTTCACCCACTGTCATACCGCCTAATGCACCCGTAAAACGGCCACTGAGTGTGCTGTGCGCTGTGGCCTTGGGGCGCTGCGTGCCACTCAACTCTCGGTTGTTTGTGGCGCGGTTCGTACTCAAATTGTGTGACAGTGATGGTTTAGCTGATTGAAGAGTTCTGTTAAGCTTATTGCTATTGGAGAGGGATGTGTCATTTTATACATTAGTGTCAAAATTCAGAAGCATAACTGATGTTGATTGGATTTAAAGTATCGCCCAAAGAGGAAGTGAACATTCGACGTCCAGATACTAGTTCCTTCCGCTAAACTTTTGTCATGCAGTGCCGTTTCGTTTTCATTTCTATTGGGTGTTCATTGCTGTCAGGATAAACGCTAAAAAGTCATCTATTATGATACGTTCCTATATTATTGCTTACACGACTCTTCCATCATTTGATAGTAAACATCCGTACGCATCGCGTCGCGTCACTCGGAGCGATATTATTTGTTACATAGACATAGCTCCTTAACATGTCACCTCTATTATCTAATCTAGCCTCTTGTCGTTCCTTACTGACTGACTGAGTACCTAAGGCGCATAACAGGACACATAACACCTTCGAGCTCGCGGTACCAGCGGCTAGACGAGCCTACCTCCCGCAGGAGACACCAGCGGGTGACTGCTGCCTAAACCGCTGCCTAGACCGCCGCGTAGGCCTAGACCGCTGCCTAGACCACTGCCCAGACCACCCCCGAAGGAAGGTGACATGCCGAGGCCGGTGCCCTGCCACTGTGAATACAAACCCTGTCCGATTCCGAACGGTTGGTGTGTCCACCAGGGAAACTGCCCGGAGAGGTTGAGCTCTCCCTGGTTCCGCCAGTTCGGTAGGGAGCTTGATCCAAGCCCAGGATTCGTATTTGACCACCAAGGAAGCCGTGGAGTGAACCTGGGCTGGTGAGTCGTCCAGTCGGTGGTGGAAGTTGGCCTCCACAACTGGTTTACCGAACTACCCTGGTTGGTAATGGTGGGCTGATGGTTTCGCAATCGTGTTTGGGCGTTGAGCTGGGGATCAGGGGCTTTTCGCGCTAGTGAAGGTGTGAACACGGACTCTTGGGTCCACAGGTCGAAGGCATCGGGCCCCTCATTGTCCTGTACCGTCTGGTCACGAGCGGCAGCCTCCTCTTCCTTCCACTGTGGCTGCCGGCCAGGGTCTCCGGCACTTCGCGTCCTCCAATCTGACGGACGGTCGACGGGTTCCGGACCTTTCGCTAACCGTGAATCTTTCTGACGGGTAGGTCTCTCCGTCAATTTTGGAGTCCAGTCTAGGCGAGGGGTAGTGTTCTTGGTGTCTCGGGGGCTCCAGCTAGGTCTACTTTCATAAATATTGTGGTTCTGCATAACCCGACGTGGACGTCGAACAAGTTCTCTGTCGTTCTTGGGCATCATATCCAACTGGTGACCGAAGCCTCTAGCGTTTTGTGGCTTCCAACGTGACGGTGGTGTAGGAGCGTCAACGTTCTGAAGACTTCGGTCTGGGTGGTCTCCAAAATCCATGACATCCGGAATGTCCCTTCCTTGCTCTCGAATCTCCGGCCCTTCTTTCTTAGCCGGCCGGTCTTGCGGAGCTGGCCTGGGAGCCAATTCGTTGTCATGCTGACTCCTAGGAGTGTCCTTCTCCAGGATAGCCCTTCTCCTACCGCGACGTCCACGAAGTCGACGCCCTCGATGCGACACCAGTCTAGCCACACACTTTCGGCGCTTGATGTTGGCCTCGATGGCCACGTCGATCATGTCGTTGCCCAGGAAGAAGTCTGTGGCGACGACGCTGGCCGTGTGCCACCACTCGTCGCGGAACCACTTGGTCACCTCCGAGTTGGCCTTCTGCGCCAGGTCCCGCAGGCCGCGGTTCGGGATGATTATGTCCCAGGGCGATGGCGTCAGCTCGGCCATGGCGGCCCACTGCGGTCCCCCAGAACGCTGCCGCATCTCCTCGCGCAGGAACCCGTACAGGCTGGCCACAGACTTCTTGTCGCCCCATGCCTGAATAAATGAGGAGGTGGTCAGAGAGCCTCATCGGTGTCATTCAATGGGTCGAGAGGGACAATACGGCAATGAAACGCTCTGCATGACATTGTCATGCCTATCGAGCTTTGCTCATTGGACAGATCAGGGCAGAAACACGGTTCACTTCACACTATGGATGAACGCGGGCAATAGTGCAAATATGCAACTCAGACGCTCAGTTTCATTCACACTATCTGGCTGTGATGCACTGAATCCGTGTTGACCTGACCTGCGGTATGGACGGCCAGAGGTACTCGTTCTGGCGTCGGGTCGGCCAGTCGTTGTAGGAGATGATGAGTCGTTTGTCGGACGCCCAGAGTTCGCCCATGGTGACGTCGTATACCCGTGGCGACATCCACTGACCCAGCTCCATGGTCAGGTATTGCACAAACTGCGTGTGGACCTGCGGGAGCAAGAGTGGGGAGATGTGATTGAAGGCTGGACTGAGAGAGCGGAATTGTTGAACGTTCTAGGTTCTACTGATGATTCCCGGCACTTCACCCTGAGAAGTACATACATGTAGCATCTAGTCAAAACAATCCACAAGACACCGACATCTATGGTGTCAGGTGTGATATCAGGCAGCAAGACACCAAACCTTCGTCAGCCTTATCATGCAGCCTTACCATGGCGTTGTCGAAGCCGACGGGGAAGCGGTGGAAGTGCAGGATGACCACCTCCTTGGTGTACTCGAGGAACCAGCGCACGTGCTTTATCAGAATGTTGACGGGCCTCACAGGGAAGAAGTCGTGGTACACCCAGAACGGATCGCTGAAGGCAAAAACATAAGTCCGGTCAATGCAACGTTTGGGTTTGGCCAGCAAACAATCCAAGAAGTCATGCGATGATTATAAGAATGCTTCGTTGTAGCGCCTGGTTCAAAGCGTCTAGCAAATTCGTTACGGTAAAGCAACACAAAAGCAAGATTAAGCGATGACAGCGAAGCATCGTGATCAGCAAACATTTTGCTACGTATCTCGAGTACTTTCTTACGCAACTAAAGTGGCTGATTGCGGAGAAAATGGGTCACCAAACCTCACGTTCCGTACCGTTCAGAGGGCCGGAAGCCGACGCGCATGTCCAGGTAGCGATTGCCGAACACCAGCTGCGACCAGACGTCCTCGTCCTGCGTGGTCACCAGCTTGAAGACGATGTCCCGCGAGCGTTTGTAGGTGCCGCTGTTGTGCGTGCCGGGGAGCATCAGCTGGTCCAGCGACATGGGCGCCAGTACCTCTCTGTGGACGAAAACGGTGATGTCGTTATTGTTGCCCCACGTCCTCGTAGCCTCCTCCTTCAGTAGATAACAGTCTCATGACCGGTCCGCCATCGGTGATGTATTTGTCTCAGCTTCACTCGGTGGTCAGACGCTCTGTATCTGTACCGAACACGCAAACAAAAAACAATCAGTGGCTCGCCTCAACCAACAACGAGCCAGTAGCGCCCCCACCACAACGAATATATCATATGTTTTCGCATAATAACAGATACAACTAATTTCCACTTCACAATAATATCTGGCAAGTGCGCCATATACGCCACAAAAATAATTATGGTATTTCAGCACGGCCTTTGACATGTTTAACATTCACCTGGCTCATCTAAGGCACGCCGACGGTATAATTATACATGCAAAATGATAAACATAATGCTTACCGAGATCTGTTTCCTTTCCAACTACGAGAATGCGAAACAACAATGTTCTCTCACGTGTCCCTCTCATCCTTCTTGACACATCAGCGACTTAGAGATGACCGAATGAAAACATGTCCGAAAATTCACTCTACACCGTTCACCACTATCCATTCCACAACGTTACTAGCAGCGCCATCTAGAAAGTAAACTAGCAACCAGA